TATGTGGGACTTTTGTGTGCATGTGATTTTGCTACAAAACATAACTTGTAGAAGTTGGACATGCAAGTAGAACCCATCCGTAATTGTACATAGAAAAACATGTAACCTTAGTTCAATAACTGTTACGTGTAGGAGGACGTGTCACATTATCTGAGCTGAGCAGTGATTCTTGTTATGATATGTATTGTAGTGTAATACTCTTTATTTTTCTTAGTGCATCTTTTCCTACCATTTCCTGGCACTTGTAACAATTATATAGACATTGATACTGAACGAACACTTTAAAATGAAGCTGAAATGTTCTTGTAAAATGTTCAGCTGTCTTATGGTCAGCCAAATTTTGGAGTAGGGGCACATTTATTTTTAGCAAAAGTCTGAGCTGCCTTTAAAGCAGCTGACAACACTAACATGTATTATACTCTATATAATAGAAATAAATAGTGCTATGTAAGAAATATAATTATCTTACTGTTGATGTTTTAGCAGAGTGTATGTAATTATCTGTGCTTGTATTTTGTATGAGAGTCTTAAATGTTCTCCCAAACCTTTTTATCACTAGTAGAAGCAACATGGTATAACAGTTAAGAGTGAGGACGCTAGGCTACTAGCCTAGGCCTAGATTCCAGCAAAGAGGTCATGTCACTCACCTCCCTGTGCCTCAGTTTCTTTTATGTAAGAGTAGTGATAGTAACATCTTAATATTGCTTTGAGATTGAAATGAGTTAATATTTTAAAGCACTTAGAATAGTGTCTGAGACACAAGAACTATATATTAGATATTATAGTAATTATAATGTGTATTTCTTGAATTATCCTATAAAAATAATGTTGGCAACCCAACACTCATCTCCCACCTTATTGCTTCCAGTGCCTTGGTTTGGTTTGGTTGTTTGTTTTCCCAGTGATTCTGGAAGAGATCCTGATTAGGCTAGGCCAGTGGTTGGCAAACCACAGCCCATCTGCCAGATCTGGTCCACTGCCCATTTTTGTGCAAGCTGATAAAAGTTTTTTTATTATTATTACTAAATAGCTGAAGAAACTTACAGAATATTTTGGGACACATGAAAATTATATGATATTCAAATTTCAGTGTCCATAGAGCACTTGGAGAACACTAATACAAATAAAAACCCATTTCTTTATGTTTTTCCTTGCCTTTGGTTGCCTTCACCAGTAGAGTTTAGTAGTTGTGACAGACCATATGGCCCATAGAACCTAAGACATTTACTACTTGGCACTTTACAAAATAAGTTTTCTGTTATGTAGAGCTGGAAACATTGCAGCCAATGTAAATGTATACTTTTATACATGAAATGTGATTCAGAAATGATGTAAACAGCAATTTGTGGGTGGATGTTTTTGTGCAGTATATTTATTTTATGCATTATATTTATATGTTTAAAACCTAAGCTTAGAAGTATTTTTTTCAAAAAAATGTGTTTTTTACTTGCTGTATTGACATAAAATCAAAATAAATTTACTGATGGAGTGTAAGAAACATATATGAAATAAACTTTGCCTAAATTGAATTGTATTGTTAATTGATCCTTTCCTACAGTATTTCTTTATTTTCTTCCAAGTCAATGAGCAGTTATCCCCATATTGTTTTATAGTTTGCTCACTATCCCATCACAAGTTACCATCTCTGTGTTATATTTGACATGACCTAATGACAGAAATTTGTAATACCTAACTCCAATAGCTGTGTTATTAGTAACCTATAAAATTATTATCTATATTTCCTATATAAATGATTATTAATTTAAGGTAGTTCAACTTAGATTTTTTTTACCTTATGATGGTATGAATGCAATACACATTCAGTAGAAATCATACTTCAAGTTTTAAATTTTTATCTTCTCTCAGGCTATTAACATGAGGTATAATATTCCTTCCTATCACTAAGCAGCAGAAGCAAATCAACAGCAATCAGTCAGCCACACAGTCACAGGATAAAAAAAAAAATGTGTTGGTAAGCTATAGTATTCAGTAGGTTAAGTATTTTAAATTCATTTTTGACTTGATATTTTCAACTTAAAATGGGCTTCTTGGGATATAACCCCAATGTAAGTCAAGCAGCATCTGTAACTGCCAGTTGCTGCTCTAATCTAAATGCCACCAGCACCTTACTTCCCCTTCCTAATACAGATGACTTTTTGATGTTGAACTTCTTAAGCATACATCACTCTAATTTGTCTGATGAACACTTAATATGATATTTAGTGATTGCTTATATTTTAAGAAGGACATACTTTGTACTTACTGCTATAACTTTTGTACACTATGGTAAAAATATTATCAATATCTCTTTCTACTCAAACCATCTATGAGAGGTTTAGGCACGGGCATGCATTTAGAGTTATTCTTTATTGCAACCTATTGTGAAAGAAAAGCCATTTTCTAAATCCCTCAAGCTTCTCCACCAAAAAATAAAAGTTAATTAGTACTTTCTTGGAATAACTATGGCAAATCTGTTATGAAGAATAAAGTCTGTACTGATAAGAACACTTAAAAATAGTACCATAGCTGATGAGAATATGATATTTCTATTCTACAAATTCAATCCTGAGACTATTTCTTGGCCATAATCTCAAATCACAAATTATTAACCACCAAAATTGATAAGAGAACTGATGAGACATTGATAGCAGTTAATCCAATACAATCTCTCACTAGTACATGTGTTCATGAAGATTAACCAATCTGCAACAGCTCCACTTCTCTCAAAGCCAACCACCAAAAACTTTCATTCAGACCATGCCTTTTTTTTAAACTTAGGATTGAACCCAGGGGCACTTTTATCACTAAAGCTTTATCCCCACACCTTTTTATTTTTTTATTTTAAGACACATTCTAGGTTAGTTAGGGCCTCACTAAGTTTCTAAGGCTGACTTGAGCTTGCAATGCTCCTGCCTCAGACCATGCTTTTAAAGTGAGCAAGTAAGTCAAGCCTCAGTCCAGTGAATGTATTTTTATGACTGATTAGTTTCTCAACATTATTGCTTCTGAAAGCCCCACCAATCCATGAATCCCCTTGTTCCCTCAATCCCATATCATTTTATGCTTTGTTTTACTGTGATATACAAGTACATCCCATTGGTCTACGACTTGCTTTGGCTTCAGAGAATGTGGCAGAAGTGCCAGACCTACCCTTTAAGAAGGTCTGTGGCAACTTCTACTGTCTGTCTTGAAGCTAACTATCATGCAAAAAGTTGAACAAGTCTGAGGCCATGCTCTGAAGAAACTCAAGCTACCCATGGTAAACTCTGTGGTACCAAGAATGTCAGTGATGTTTTCTCAGCAGCCCCACCACCACCACACCCAACCCCACCACTGGCTTAATGAAGCTGGTCTATTGAAAAACCAGCCAACATCAGATGAAATGGAATAGTAACCAATCTACACAGAAAAAAAAGAAATCATTAGTCATGAACTTTTGAGTGTTTTAGTTTGTTTAGGTGAGGAGAGAATTTATTTACAAAAGACTTTCAAAGGGAGAGGGAGAGTTTTCCAGTTGGAATCCTCTGACCATAAGCTCCATAAGTGCTCAGAAAGTCAGGCAGAAAGGGTTTCTTTTTTAATAGGGAAGAACAAGGCTAGAGAAAGTAAGATTTGGGGAACCATTATAGTTCAGATGATGACTGTCCCCACAAAGTACATGTGGTCCCCAGAGTGAGGGGACTGGGAGGCTGTGGAAGCTTTAAGAGGTGAGGCCTAGTGGGAAATCACTGGGGGTATGCCCCCTGGAAGGGATTGTGAGATACTAGCCCTTTCTTCTTCTTTTGCTTCCTGGCCAGGAGGGGACAGATTTTTGCTCTTGTTTGAATTGAAACAGGAAACAATAAATAAACCTTTTTTTGTTTCAGAGACTGAATGGTTACTCTCTTTCACTATAGTTATGCAGTATATGTTGCCCTCAGGGAGTTTGCCACTATTTATGACAATTATTTAATCTGATTTATAAAAAGGACTTATCCAAATATATTCATCTGCCCCAAAGAAAGACAAGCAATGTTGATTAAATTAGAGTATCATTCCTAATTAATACTGTATGGTATCACCCCAATCTATATCAAAACTTGAAACTTACAAAGAATAAACCCAAGTTAATAGGGAAATTGTCCATTTTTGTAAATAGAGATATTATTCAAGAGATTGAACAAGTGGCCAGATCTTATAAAGTTCAGACATGGCTTAGGGCATTCTGACACATTTAGACAGTTACTTCAAAGCATAAAGTGTCTTTAAAATTTTATGTAAATTCTGTTTGGATTAAACATTCCCTTGATAAAGAACTAGTATTTGATTGAAAAGTTTTTATTTTGTTTCCATCAAA